AAGCTATCCGCACACACACTCACGGAGTCAAGCACCCCTCTGAGAACACAGATGAAACTTCAGAGGTGCATACAGCACTCAGAGACACCCTGTCGCAGCGTGCGTCATCCAGCTCACTCCGGCCCTGCCCCGCCAGGCACTCCTTACATGGGCCCAGGGAAAGCCCAGTCAACAGCAGCAGCAGCTAGTGCTGCGTCAGGCAAACCCCGTAACACTTCAGTCTTTTTCACCTTCACCACCATCCTGTGGGGTTGATATTATTACCCTATTTGACAAATGAGGAAATAGACTCCGAGAGATTAAGTCACACAGCTGGTGAGTAGCAAAGCTGGGTTTGAAACTCAAATCAGGGTGACACTTCACTCTGTGACCCAAAGGGGGCGGCCGCCTGGGTTTCCTCTCCTGGGAGGATGGGGCGGGGGGCAGGAAGGACAAGCCCTAGGAGATGTCTGATGGGGAGGCTGGGACAGAGGGGACACTTAGGGGGCAGCACCACTCCCGACCGGGGCACAGTTGAGCCAGCTCTGAGAGGGAGGGAGCCAGCAGAGGGGCACCCTGCGCCAGCAGTCCTGGAACCCGGGCCTCAGGCCCTGCGCTGCCGGGGGCCTCTGTGGGTGGTAAAGCTGGGATCCCGTCGGGGACTGCAGATCTGAGGAGCTCTCTGGCCTGGTTGGCGGCCATTGTTCCCAGCCTCCAATCAGGAGCACCCACTTCCTGTTATTTTAGGCGGCAGGAAATGACCCCATCCCGCAGCCCGGCCCTCCCTCAGCCCCAGCAGGGCTGCCCACGCTGGGGCCTAGGAGCTGAGGGCAGAAGCCCGGCCTTAAGCCAAGGCCTGAGGATGGCCCGCTGGCTGAACTGTCACCACTGCCCAAGTCCAGGGCCTCCTTCTGGTCTGACTTGCTCAGATTCCAACCTGGCAGGATGGATAGGGGGACCCAGGGCCCTGCTGTTCTACTTCTGCCTCCCAGAGAAAAGATTACAGGGTCCCTAAGACCACGATGCCCAGAGAACCAGTCACTGCGAGGAAAGTGAAGTCGGACTCTATCACCAGCTGGCTTGGCCATGATTAATTCAGCATAGAGATTTGGTGTACAGGCTTTAGAGTTGGACAGACCTGGATTCAAATCCTTCCTCCGCCAGCACCTAGCTGTGTGACTTTAAGCAAGTTACTTCCCCCTCTGAGCCTCATCTATAAAATGAGGATGTGGGACTTCCCTGGTGATCCGGTGGTTAAGACTCGGTGCTTCCACTGCAGGGGGTCCGGAGGTACAGGTTCAATTCCTGTTTGGGGAACTAAGATCCAACATGCTGCATGATGCAGCCAAAAATAAAAGAGAAAATTTGAAAAAATAAATAACATGAGGTTAATACTAGTCCATCCTGGATAGTTTTGAGAATCAAATGAGACAATGCACAGGACATGCTAAGCACTATGCCTGGCACACAGAAGGTCCTTGATAAATAAGAGCAGGAGATCAGTAGGATCACCAGGGTGGTCTATTTCCTCTTGTCATTGGTAAGGAGCAGGAAATGGCAACCTACTCCAGTATTCTTTCCTGGAAAATTCCATGGACAGAGGAGCCTGGCAGGCCATAGCCCTTGGGGTCACAAGGAGTAGGACACGACTGAGCACACCTGCGCTAGATCGCAGGTTCTCTAGCGTCTCCCACCCTCTCTGCTTCCCTCGGGGTGAAGCTGCCGCTGAGAGGTGACGGAGGACCCACCGAAGGCTGTGCCCCGGAGTGCCAGGCAGAGCTGCCACCGCCAACAAAGCTGCATTATCTGAGCCTGGCTTGCTGGCTGCTTCACTGGCCCCAAGGCCCAGCGGAGACCCAAGGACATGGTTCCCAGCTGCTTGTGGCCAAACTCCCAACCTTGGCCAGGCCTGAGAACTGCCCTGATGGCTCTCAAGTGCCACCACCCCAGGCTGGGCCCTGCTTTCAGCTCCTTACCCACTCACTCAGCTCTGCCCGGCCACCAGCTGATGCCCATCCCTAGAGGAGGGGGAGTGAACTGGCCTGGTGCCCCTTCTTCTTTATTTGCATATGCGTGACTGCACATTAGGGGCTCATTAAGGCCTCATTACTGGGCCCACCAGCCCCAGGAGGGACAGAAGCTATCAGTGGGAGCTGCCAGCCAGTCTGGCTGCTATATGCGGAGAGGTGCAGAGGCAGCCCATCTTCTTCTCATCAATTCAGGTCCACCTCAAACACCTCCTCTGTGAAGTCTTCCACAAGCAGATTCCATCAACCACTGCATCATCGGGAGCTCCCCGAGGGTGGTGACTGGGATTCACTTCCCTGTCGTCTGTACAGCCAGGATTGAGCTGGCACATGGCAGGCATCAATATAGGTGCGCGGGATAGCTGCACCCACCCCCCGGGGCTCTCTCCTGTTTCCAAATGCTCCACTTCAAGCATGGGGCCCTCTGTTCCCCAGATACACCCTGGCTCATGTCTGTCTAGAACTCATCTCTGCCTTGCTCTCTGGCCTACATTTACCTCCTGAAGTTCTAATTAATCACATCTCCTCCTCAGGCCTCCAAAGGAATTAAAAATAATAACAACAAAAATGAATAGCGTTTACTGAGCATTAACTATTTACCAGGGCCTCTCCTAAATGTCTTATGCATTTCTCTAATTTAATGATCCCAATGACTCTATGAGATCATTTCCAGCATTATTGTCATTTTACAGATGAGAAAATTTATTAGCAAGTTATGAAGGGGAGACTTAAACTGATTCTGGAGTCTATACTCTCAAGCAAACTAAATCCCCACTCCTGCCCCTACTTTCCCCATATTTCATACCTCCCTGCTGGCACCAGTTCCGATGAGCATAACCACAGTAATGGTAATAACACTGTATTGCGGGCATCCATGTGCCAGGTTCCTTTGGGTACATCGTCTCTAACATTAACCCCACAAGGCTGATAACACTACCTCCATTTTCCAGGGGTATGAACTCTGTCTGGATAGGGTAGGTCACTGGCTGCAGGCCACACCTATCCCCTTCTCCACGCTGCCTCCTGTTAACACTCACTGTGCAAAGGAAACTCAGAGAGGGCAGGGATCACGTCATATGTATTCAGTGTCTCAGACCCATGCCTCAGACTCTCACAGGGCACACGCAGTGAGCATCACCTTTACTCCCTGAAGGCTCCTGACTCACGGGGCCCTTGTCACCTTTAACTTCAATTGGTACAGACCAGCCACCATCCTGACCCCCGTTCTCATGTAACTCCATCTAGGTCATCCCTGTGTGTAGAAGCCTTTTCAATTCAGGACTTGGTGTTCAGGACCCAGTCAGGTCTCCCCAGCACAGCCAAGCATCCCACCCATGCCCTCACATTCAATCCAGATATCCCATTCAGGTGCCCTGCTTATAAACCAGCCACTCACTTCAGCCCTCATCTCTGGCCCAGTAATCACCATCACTCAGGCCCTGATGTACACACCAGTGCCAGAGACCCTCAGCTGCAGAGGGCCAGGAAGCGGATGGAATGGACATGGGCGAGGCCTCCCTGGGTGTCCCCTCTCAGGGTCAGCAGAGCCAAGACAGACCGAAGTGCCATTGTTCCGGCACAGCCTACAGACCTCCTGAACCACAATGGTCTGCTGACCTCCCCCCTGCATCCTCCAGCTCCCACACCCACAGGGTCCCCTCCAAGCACCCATGAGGGCATGGGGTGGAGCCCACCCACAACCAAGCGGCTCCACCTTGTCCTGGGCTCTCTGCACCCACAGACACGGTTTCATCCTGGGCCCACGCCCCAGGGGGCAGGGAGGTGACGGGGATTAGGCTCTAGGACTCTATGGAGGTGTGGGGTTGGAGCCACCTCCCCTGAGTCAGTGGGAAGAGAGCTTGGGTCCTCAGCAATCCTGCTCCTCCCTCCCTTTCCAGGAAGAAAGAGAAAGAGAAATCCCTCCCTCCAACCCCAGGCCCAACCAGAAACCTGTCCCCACCCCCTCATCAGCTGCTCCCAGATCCGAATGGGATTTGCAGAAGTCCTGGGCACTGTGGTGGTTGGTGGAGTGAGCGGGGAGAGAGCTTTGATGGTCAGGGGCCTGAAGAGAGAAACAGAGAAGGAGGGAGGGAGGGAGGGAGAGAGGGTGTGTGTGTGTGTGTGTGTAAGGTGGGGGGTATCAAAAACCTCAGGCTGAGGAATGATGTGGCAGGTCCCTGGAGTGTCGACCTCAAGCCTTCACCCCATTCTCTGGGAAGCACTCAGGCCCTGAGATAGATACTTCTGTCCCCTTCCTCCCCAGATCGGACTGGGTGGGCTCCAGAGCAGGCCAGGCTGCAAGGGAATCGGCCCACTCCCCAGCTCCCGCCCTCTGCCCAAACAATGCTGCCTCCCCCTCCCCCTGCCTTTATCCGGCGGGTTACTTGGCAGCCGCCGCTAGAGACCTCCCCCTGCCCTCCCTCCCCTCCCTCCTCTCCCGGCCGGCGGGCAGCAGCAACAGGCCCTTTGCGCGGCAGCTGGAGGGATGGGGTGGGGGCGAGGTTTGGGCCAGGGCCTGGGCGTGGGGAGGCGGGGGGCGCCAGGGCCTAGGCTTCGGTATGCAAGGCTTCAGGCCTGAGAATCTGAACCCCCGACACACAAGTTCAGGCTGGGGTCACACGTGCCCACCGGGGATGGGAGGGGGACAGACGCCCCAGGTCAGTAGACGAGGCCTGGGGTGGGTCGGGGAGGACGGCAGGGGCCGGGCAGCCGAGGTGGCACTGGGTTGGGGCGGAGGGGTCACCATCAACTCTACATCGGGGCCCCCGGGGATCCCGGCGCCCAGGACGTCCCGGCGCCCGGGGTGGGGGAGGGGTAGCTGTCAGAAGATGCGCCGGTGGCCCAGCGCCGCCGACGCCGCTGCAGCCTTTATTTTTAAACTTCCAAGTGGTCAGAGGGCGCGGCGGGGGAGAGGTCCCCGCCGCGCGGGCCGGCTTCATCCTCTCCCTTTCCGAGGCCCCCCGATCCCCTTCTCCCATCTCGCCTCTGGCATACCTGGGGCTGCGCCCGTACCCGGCTCCGAACGTGAGCCGCCCTCCATGGCTGCGGCGTCACTGGGGGCGGGGGGGTGGGTCTTGGGGGTCTCAGCGGCGACGGCGGCGGCGGCCAGCGGCCAGGATAGGGGTCCCGCGGCGCATCACGCTCGGCCCGGCCCGGCGGGCAACGATTCGAAGGCTGAGGGAGCTCCGGCGAAGGTCGAGGCTGGCTCGGCTAGTAGCCTGCGGGCTCGCAGTCGCCGGCCGCCCAGTGTCTGTCGGCTCCGGCCTCGATCGTTCTGCCTGCCCGGCGCCGGCCCAGTCGCGGCCACTGCCCAACCCTATTGTACCGCCCGGGCTGGGCCTGGCCTCGCGGCTGGCGCGTACCAAGTGCGACGCGGGGAGGGCCACCCCCGCAGCGCCCGGGGACCGCGCTCCCGCCCCGCCCGCCGCGCCCCCGCCCTGGGGCCCGGGGCCTGGAGCCGGGGCACGGCTCTCCTGCAGCCGCGGCGGAGGGGACGCTACGGCTCCCGGAGGACGCCCGTCGAGCTGCCTCCCCCTGCGGCCGCGCGTTGGTTCGCGCCGCAGCGCGAGGCGACTATGTAGGGAGCGCTCCGGTGACTCACGCGCCGCTAGGACTGGGGGGAGCGGGGGGGAGCGGGGATGGGAGCCCCCAGTCCCACCCTGGAGCCTTCGAGCTCCGGGTCTGGGGCCTTGGCAGCTTCAGATCGGCAATCTTTCCCAAACCCACCTCAAACAAAATCCGCCCGAGGGACGTCGGGAGCCTTGGAGGGTCACAAGGAGACCCCTAAAAGGGCTATGCTCTCTTTCCCCTGGTGATGGCTGGGGTGGGGAGAGACCCGGCCTGGGAGCATTGCTGCGGCCCTTCCTCCACCATCCTCCGGTTCGGGCTGTGTCTTCCCTGCTCCTCCGGGAGTAATTACAGGCCTGCACCACCGCCTTACCCAGGTCTCTAATCTGCTCCGGGTCTCTCCCGGCTCAGGCTCCGAATTGGGTGGTCTTGGCCCTAAACCTCCCCTAGGCCCATCGGATGACCCCCTCATCTACCTGGGAAGGATTTTCTCCCCTGTGTTCTGTCCAAGGAGGGAGGGAGTTCCTTCTGACCCCCCTCCCCCAAGTAGTTCTGCTTCCCAGCCCCGGGAAGTAGATCCCCCAATCCCCTTGTTACTGCCAGCTGAGGTGGGCCTCAAGCCAAGTCAGGCCCAGCCTGGGCAGAGAGGGGGGAGCTTGCTGGGAAGGTGGATCGATGCTGCTGCTGCAGGGACTGATGGGGCGGAAGGAGCAGGCGCAGCTGGGCCCTGCACACCCCATCCCTGCCCTTTGTCCTGACCTCCAGAAGGTCAGTTGTCTAGTTCTCCATTGCACAGAGATTAGGCCGTAATCTGTTGTCCTCCTGCCCCCCTTTCCTGCCAGTGTCTTCTTCCTTTGAGCAACTCCAGAAAGCAGTCATTTATTTTTTATTTTGATTTTATTTATTTATTTTTGGCTGCACTGGGTCTTGGTTGCTGTGGGTGGGCTTTCTCTAGTTGCAGCAAGTGGGGACTTCTCTTCATTGCAGTGCATGGGCTTCTCATTGCAGTGCCTTCTCTTGATTTGGAGCTTGGGCTTTAGAGTGGGGGCTCAGGAGTTGTGGTACATGGACTTTGTTGCCCCACGGCATGTGGAATCTACCCAGACCAGGGATTGAACCCATGTCCCCTGCACTGGCAGGCTAACTCTACCATTGGACTAAACCAGTGAACTCCCAGAAAGCAGTCATTTAAGGGGAGAAGGTTGGGAACAAAAGCGTCTGGGTCTCAGGCAACCTGGGAGCAAACAGTCGTGGGAGAACTTCGTAGCTGAAGGCCTGAACTCTCTTCCAGGGCCAAGGAGGGCCTTCCCCAGTCCAAAAACTTTAGAAAAGGATGATGCTAGAAGACCTACAACTAGAGCTAGTAACCTTAAGCTACTGTCTTACCTTTTCTGAAACCCAGTTTGGTCACCTAAAAAATTAGGAAAATAATAATACCATGAGATATCATGGGTTTGCTGTAAAGGTTAAATAATGCAACATGGATGAAATGCTTAGCACTGAGCCTGGCACATAGGAAGTGCTTAATAAAGAAGTATGATGATGGGCATTCAGAAGTAAAAGCAGATTAGGATGAGGAGCAGAGCCCCATCTTTGTTGTCAGTCATCCTATCTGCAGGGTGAGGGGACCATGTGGATGGTAGAGTCCAGGTAGAGTCCTTTGTGAGGTCAGAGACCTCTGGGCCTGCATCTTCTAGAGCTGACCAGGCCCACACTGAGCCAGGCAGTGATTAGACTGAGAATTCATGAACAGAACCCAATATGGGAGAGCCATCTGGGTTCTGTACCCACAGTCTTGAGAGCACAGTAGGGACAAAGACACGCATAGGTGGGAATTGTGAGATACCTTCATTACCTGGAGCTCAAGAATAGTAGAAGGGGAAACAGTAACTGAAGATGAAGAGATAGGCCAGGGATGGCCTACATGAGAAGGTTTGAATGCCAGCTGGCAACATGAACTACATAATGTAGATACTGGGGAGCTGTCGAAGGTTCTTCAGAAGAAGGGTGAGCAATGCTTTGGAACTGGAAATCTTCCATTGTGTCTAATGATCTAGGATTAACTTTGAGGAGTGCCCTGCAAAGAGTCAGTGTATGGTATTAGCCTACTCAGTGGTTCTCCACCAGAGGCAGTTTTCCACCCCAGGGGACATTTGGCAATGTTTAGAGGCATCTGTGGTTGTCACAACTAGGGATGCTACTGGCATCTAGTACTTAGACACCAGGATGTTGTTTAACATCTTGCAATGCACAAGAGCACCTCCTGAACAGAGTCATCAGGCCCAGAATGTCAATGGTACTGAGGTTGAGAAACCCTTCCCTGGACTGAGGGTGGAGGCACCTGCACTTCCTGGCAAGATGCTAGTCGTTAGGCAACTTGAGGGTCAGTTCTCCTGGCCAGCCCCAGGAGGCTTCCTACACACTTGGTGGGTCCATAGCAAGTCCTGAGAGCACTGATGTCCTGTGACTGATGCAGTCGGAAGAGACAGATGGAGTGCACTCCTCTCCATTTGCCCCCTAACTGACCAGGATCCTTGTTGCATCCCAGGCCCTGGCAACTGATGGGATTTACAGTGGGTATCTCTGAGTTTGGGGCTGGGTGAAAGTGCTCCATGTAGCCTCCCAAGTATTAGACATCCCAGAGAAGGAGCAAGCAGGGCACTTCCAACATCACTGGCGACTGAGAATGCCCTGCCTTCTTCAGTGAGGGGCCGAGGAACTTTGTGGTCTCCCAAGTTCCTCCCCTACCGCCCAGGGCAGTCCCCTCCCCCTTCACAGAAACAGGCTTGAATGAGCTGTCAGTCTCACCAAGAGGCTGAGCTGAGGCTAGGAGTCAGGTCACTGAAAGGGGATCAGAAATATGTTCCCTTCCTGATCCCACTAGGGGGAGAGCAGAAGCAAGAGTATTTACAACCTCCTAGGTTAGGTGCGGGAGGGTCCAAAGTGGATCTGTCCAAGAGGTGAAGGAAATCACTGGGTGATTTGACAAAGAGATATGAATTGGGCCCAAGGCCCCGGAGGCTGTCTCCACTCCTACACTAGTAGGAAGTAGGAGGGGCCTCATGGTGGGTGCAGTTTGAGAGACCAGACATCAGATTCTCACACCCACCCTACCCCCAAGGCACGACAGCAAGAAGGGGTCTTTAACCCAAACCACTCTGCTAGGGAACTGCAACCTCCAGGGCTTACTCCCTGGGGCTAGAGGTGGGGAATGTCCTCAAAGGCCAGTGTTGACACCAGCTGCAGTACAGCTTCCCTCCAGATCTTGCAGAGGGGAAGTAACAGAGAGGGATTGGTGGGCAGAGGAACTCAGATTCAGGATTAAATAGGTTCAACCTTTTGGGTTCTTGGAGGGGGGCTTCTAGTGCTCCTTCCAGGGATTGGGGGCTATCCCTGCTGCATTATTTTCCTGGGATAAGGAGCTGGGGTGAGGCTGGGAAGGGGGGCGCTGTCGTTCTTAAATGTCCTGGCCCCCAAGAGGTGATGGAGAGGGATTGGGAGTTGGGAGTGAGAGCCCTTGAAAAAGTCACTATGGAGCCAGGAGGAGATCTTTTAGATTAGCCTGAGATGGATCCCGCCCCCACCCTTGATTCAGGACTGGTGACTCTCGGAGGAGGAGTCCCAAAGAAAAAGAAGCCAAAAGGAGGAATCACAGGCAGAGAGGGGAAGAATCTCAAGAGGCTGTAAGATAGGCAGGGAGAGGCTCCGCCTTCGATCTCTCCAGACCCGCCTGGCCTGACAGCAGGCTGGGTGGGGTCGAGCGGCTGGCTGTGACTGTGACTCAGGTTTCTGTGGGCAGCCAAGGGCAGCCGGCAGGGAGGAGCCCAGACCAACAGACAGGCCAGCCAACTGCAGCTTTCACCTCAGCTGTCCTCTCTCCTGGGAATGCAGGAGGTTCTTTAACTTTGCTGGCCTCTGAGCGCTAGCCCACCCCTGCTCCCTCATCCCCACCCCCAACTGACCCTCATGTTCCTTCCCAGAGCCCTCAGCCCAGGCGCTGAGACACAGGACAGAGAGTCAAAGGTCACTGCCTCTAGGGAGGCCCCGGCATGTCTGTGCCACAGGGAGAAGAGTATAATCATTGGTTCTGCACCGAGAGGGACAGACTGGAATCTTGGGTACTGGCTTTCAGGCTGAGCAGCTTGGGCCCCCCAGCCTTCCCCAGCCAGGATGGCTCAAGTCTGGGCGGGCTGGTTGTCATGGTGAAGACTAGGGGCTAGAATGCAGCTGCCAGTCAGGCTACCAGGCGTAAGTGAGGAGACGGGGCTCAGGGACTCATAGCACAGTCCTTTCAGAACTGACTAGCCAGGCAGGGATGGTTGGAGCTGAAACCAAAGAACTATGGTCAGGGACTGTAGGACTTCCCCTTGGTGATGGGTGAGGGTGTGGCCAGCTCATTCCCCTGGTATTTCTGGGGCCTGTTTGCTGGGCTGTGTATTCAGAGAGCCGCTGAAAGGAAGGGAATGCAGGTTTACTTCGTGCCAAGTGCTCTGCATACATGTCTCACCGATCTTCACAACAACTGAGAGAGCCAGCCATTTGCCTAAAATGGCAAAGCTAGGATTAAAATCCAGAACTGGCTGCTACCAACGCCAGTGATCTTTCTTTTCTGGGAACAGTCTTGTTCTAGGGGAGAGAGAGGGAGAAATTGACCTGAACTTTATCAGACTGCCTATTTCATCAGGAGGCCACAGTGGTAGGATGCAGGTGCTGGCTGCCTTTGGGGTTTGGGGACAGATGACGGTTCGAAGAGAAAATTACTGGTGAAATGCTTGCCACATAGTAGGTGGTCATCAAATATTTTTGTAAAGAAGAAGCCAGCTGTGTGTAATAGCCATGCATGGCCAGTTTTCTGGGACATCCTCGGAGCTTCTGGCTCTGAATTGCAGCAACAGCGGAAGAAGCTAGTTTGAAAGAGGGACTTTCCAAGACCATCCCTAGCGGGAGGAATTTGCGGAGCGTCACAGTGAGGGTTAGGCAGGATGGGAAAAAACTGTGTAGCTGATAGAGGATTACTGCAAGCTGCGGACGCCACCCAGCGGCCATAAACCAGGAGATAGGGAGCCATGTTCCAAGAGTCCTCTGTGAGCGGAGCATTCTGGGAGTTGTAGTCGGGCTGCACTAAAGGGGCGGGGTTGCCAGTGGGGCTGTTGGGTGCTGTGGTCCGGCGTTTATTGGCGGGAATTACCCTCGTTTGCCGGACTACGAGTCCCGTGGTGCCTCGCGGCCAGCTGCGCAGGTGCGGTGAGTCGTGCCGGTCAATCCTTAACGCTGAGGGGGCAGCTGGCTGGGTCGAACAGTGTCGGGAGGGGTTGCCGAGTGGGTCTGTGGCGAGGCAGGATAAGGAGGCCGGCACCATGTCGAGGCAGGCGAACCGTGGCACCGAGAGCAAAAAAATGGTAACCGGAGCGTGTGACCTCGGCGGGTGGGGCGGAATGGAGGTGTTCTGGGGAAGGGGCCCAGCGCGGGGCGCAAGTCTCAACTGGAAAGGCGCCTTCTGCCAGCCCTGGGAGGGAGTGGTTCCGCTGGAGGGAAGGAAGGGGCTCACTGGTGACCGGTGGAGAGCGGGGATTAGCTCTGGGAGCGTCCCGGGTGCGGGGCGTGTTGGAGGGCCGCTGGAGAAGCTCGGAGACCTCTTCCCCCGCCTCCTGAGTGCGATTGAGTACGAGACCAACAACGACGGCGACAATAATAGTAGCTCCCACTGTTGCTGTCTTACTGTGTTAGGCACTGGGCCAAGCACTTTACGTCTATTATCTCATTTAATCCGCGGAGTAACTCTTGTCAGGTGGATAATACTATCGCCGTTTTAAAACTCAGAGGTTGCATAACTTGCCCCTATTTACAGTTAAGACGAGTTAGGATTTGAACCCATGTCTCTCTGACTTCAAAGGTAATGCTTCAGACTACTGGGCTGTAATGTCTCCCACACTGTGCCCTGGGCATTGTGAGAGACTCAGGTACTCGTTTAACCGGAAAGCAAGAGAGTAAGGGGTGGGCCAGAGTAGGCCGTAAGTGGTCCCCCTCTGGTGAAGGGGGACAGGCTCCCTTCTTGTCCTGGAAATAGTGGGACACCATCTATCCTAGAAAGTTTGGCTGCCAGTGGGGCCTGGGCCTGGAAAGTAAGATGGATGATGATTTTCTCCAAACTAAGGGGATTTCTTGACAGGTGTTTCTTTTCTTTGGCATCTTCTTACTTCCTCTAGAATTGCGAATTTGTCTTTATTTTCCGATTTACAAACTGAGTTATTGAAGGTCGCATGCAGGGCAGATCTGCGGCCTTTTGTTGACACTCAACTCTACAGAAGATGACTAAACTTCCATTACACCTTTGCATCTTACGCCAGGAACGGCCACCAAATATGGGCAGCAGGAGGCCCTGTTACTCGAGTAGTACTGTACTTTTTCTCTGTCGGATCTCTTTTGAAAAGTTGAAATTAGCTGTGGATCTTCTCCCCAGGAATAGTAAATAGACAAACATAAACAGACATTTACTTACATGTGGGGGGAACTTGTGGGCCCCTGGAAAATACTCTGTGAATCATAGGTTAAGAATTCCTGTTTTGGAGGAAATAAGAAAAAGGAAGAAGAGAGTTTTGCTAGGCAATAGTGTCATTCAGGGTGGTGGTCCCCAACCTTTTTGGAGCTAAGAACCAGTTTCATGGAGGCCAGTTTTCCAGTTTGGGGCATGGGGGTGATTTGGGGATGGTTCAAGCGCATTACATATTGTGCACTTTATTTCTGTTACTACATCAGCTCCGCTTCGGATCCTCAGGCCTTAGATCCCAGAGGTTGGTGACCCCTGATGTATTGTAAAACGCGTGGATGTTTGTTGGAATCCTGATGGGTCCTCAGTTTACTCATCTATACAATGGGGAAATAATGCTTTCCTAGGATTAAGTGAGATAACAGTGTAAAATGCAGGGGACATGATAAATGTTTATTTTCCTCTATGAGCAGATAGCAGAAGTCTTCCCATTTAGTTTTCATATCTAGCTCTTTTCCTTATCTTTTTTTAAAACTTGAAACCAACATTGAAACTTTTAACACAGTTTCAGCAGGAACCTTCAGCCCCCACCCCGCAACCCTCTGTATTCACTTGGTTTTGGTGACTTGGAATTAGGGACTGGCATCAGTGCACTCCCTGCTTTGAGTTTTGCTACTGCTGTGGTCTCTGCTTGGAACCTTTCCCCCAGAGAGTATCTAGCTCCTCCTCACCTCATTTACAGGTACTCAGAGGTCACCTCTTCATAAAGGGCTTCCCTGACCACCTGACTAGTTCTCAATCCTCTTACTCTGTTTCTCTTCAAGCACTGTCTATTTTTCATTTAAAATACTTCATTTTAAATTAGGTATTTACTTGTTTATTTATAGTTGCCCCATGAGAATGTAACTCTACGAGAGCAAGGGTTGATTTGTTAACTGCTGTACTCCCAGCACCTAAAATGATGCTTGGCACGAGGTAGTCTGTATTAAATGAGTGACATGAAGGTTTGGTGCATCCTGTCATTCACTTCCTGTTGGTACCCAGCTGAGGCTTGTCACGTGATCCTCTGTGTAGCCACCTGGTTTAGATGTGCTCTCCTTGCCTCTTTGCCGGGAGAGCCTCCCCTTCTAGCAGTCCACTTCCCAGTCAACCCAGTTTCTGCTAATTGCTGTGTTCCCAGTTAACCCTTCCAAAACTTAAATGTTTAATATGACCAAGTAATTAGATCTCTGCTTTTAATCTGGGCAAACGGAAACAACCCATTTGTCTAGCAGACTTTTCCTGGGTCCCAGTTCTGTGCAAAGCATTGTGGGAAATGCAGAGTTGAAGTCCTAGTCCGTAACCCTGAGAAGCAGTCCTCTATGAGAGAGGTCGAAAAATACACAATGCCAGGAGCATAGAAGTGTCGGATTGAGCCCTGGCTTCACTGCTTGCTTGTGTGACCTTGGGCAAGTGTCTTCATTGCTATAAACATCAGTTTCACTGTCTTTATTTATTTATTTCTGGCCACACCAAGCAGCTTGAGGAATCTCAGTTTCCCTACCAGGTATTGAACCCATGCCCCCTGCAGTGGAAGCATGGAGTCCTAAGCACTGGACCACCAGGGAAGTCCCAGCATCCTTTTTCTTTTTAAATTAAAGTATAGTTTATCTACAACACTATGTTAGTTCCATGTGCACGTAGTGATTCGATGTTATTAGGTTGGTGCAAACATAATTTTTGTTTGGACTGCGGTTTTAGACTGAATTTTAAATCATTATAACTAGGCTCAAACACATCTTTATTAATCAAAATAGGAATCAACACATTTTTCGGTTGTACAATCAACACTTTTTTGCCAACAAGAAATAAACATATTCATTCCTATAGCGTAAAAATCTGTGATTTGGAATTCAACAAACAAATTCAACAAAGCATTTTCTGCCTGCCGCTGGTTGTGGAAGCATTTTCCCTGCCCAAAGTTGTTGAGATGCTTGAAGAAGTGTTAGTCAGTTGAATGAGGTCAGGTGAATGTGGCGGATGAGGCAAAACTTTGTTGCCCAATTCGTTCAACTTTTGAAGCGCTGGTTGTGTGACATGTGGTCGGGTGTTGTCTTGGAGCAGAATCGGGCGCTTTCTGATGACCAGTGCCGGCTGCAGGTGTCGCAGTTTTCAGTGCATATCATTGATTTGCTGAGCATACTTCTTAGATATAATGGTTTCGCCAAGATTCAGAAAGCTGTAGTGGATCAGACAGGCAGCAGACCACCAAACAGTGACTGTGACCTTTTTTTGGTGCAGTTTTGGCTTTGGGAAGTGCTTTGTAACTTCTTGGTCCAGCCACTGAGCTGGCTACTACTGGTTGTCACATAAAATCCACTTTTCATCACATATCACAATCTGTGCATAGAGTAAGAGAAGATGACACTTGAAAATGACGATTTTTTTGATTTTCCGTCTGCTCATGAGACACCCACTTATTGAGCTTTTCCACCTTTCCAGTTTGCTTCCAGTGCTGAACTGTAGAGTGGTTAACATTGAGTTCTTTGGCAACTCCTTCTCCTTGTGTAGTTGTGAAAGGGTGAGCTTTGATGATGCTCTCAGTGGGTCACTGTTGTTGCATGCTTGTCAGCTTCCGATGGCTGGCCACCGCGCTCCCCATCTTCAAGGCTCTTGTCTCCTTTGCGAAACTTCTTGAACCACCACTGCACTGTACATTTATTAGCAGTTCCTGGGTCAGATGCGTTGTTGTTGTTGGGAGTTGTCTCTGCTGCTTTATGACCCATTTTGAACTCGCCAAAAAAAAAAAAAATCGCTTGAATTTGCTTTTCATGTAACATCATTTCCCTAGTCTAAAATAAATATAAACAGCAAGTAGTGTCATTATCAAAAAATCATAAAGCGAGAAATGCGCATTAAGAGGATGTATAACATAACCACATTTATTTAAGACTGTATTCCAGTGTCAAACGGCGAAGTTCAACAGTGTAAAACCACAGTTAACATTTGCACCAACCTAACGCTCTACACTATAAAATGGTCACCACACAGGCATTCTTATTAGTAAAGATATTAATTAACCTTTGTGTGTTTACTCCTGCCCTTTTTTTGTGTTGCGACTGTATTCTCCAGAGTCAGGGGAGTTACTGCTTGAGTGGCAGACCTCAGAATCTGTGACAGGAGGCTGGAGAGTGACAGAGACGGGGGAACTCAGTCCTGTTACTGAGCTTCCTTCCTTAGCATCTTGCGGGGCAGTCACACTGGATTATTTGTGTTGACAAAAATAGTAAGTATGACTCTTAATAATCTTGGAGCTTTAGCTCCAAAGGTTAGCCGCCTAAGGAGTTTGATGTTTTGTTTGGTACACTGACTGCAAAGCTGCCTGAAAACCATCAAGTGCAATAGCTTACCTGAGTATAGGGTTTGGCTTAACTTCACTCTGCACAGGGTGCCTGAAGTACTTGACTTTGCCAACATGAAATCACTCCTGTGATTTCTTGGTCTGTGAATCATCTTTAAGTCCATTATCTCATTAGACCTTCCCCTTCCATCAACCCTGTGATTGGCATGACAGATTTCACTGTTACTTTTTTGGTTGGAAAAGATTGAAGTTCAGCAGAGTGAAGTGACTTAACGAAAGTGTTTCAGCCAGTAACAAGTCTACACTTAGAATCAGGTCTTCTGACTATAAACCCTGTATCCTTCTATATGCCTTACTAATTGCTTTAAAGTTCTTTATAGTGATTCAGAATCTCCCTCTTTGAATCTAGTTCAGGGTGCTTTCTGGCACCATGCCACAGAGAAGCAGTTTAAGAACAAAAATAACAATATCTACTTTTTTTTTGGCTGTATGTGGGAACGAATCCATCCCCCCCTGCAGCGGAAGTGTGGAATCTTAACCACTGGACTGCCAGGGAAATCCTACAGTACCTGCTTCTTGAGTAGGTACTATGCAGCAGGCCCTCTACACACATTATCTCACTGATAACCCTGAAGGGCAGATAATGTTGTCACCATTGTACAGCTGGGGAAAGCTGATGTTCAGGAAGGTTAAGCAGTGACTCAGGATGACTTAATAACTTTTTACAGGACAGTGCTCAGCTCTAAAAAGAGTGAGTCTCAGTTACTTAACCTATCACCTGTAAAATGGGGATAAATAGTGTTTGTTTTGCTAACCTCTCATGGTTGTTGTGAAGATCAATAAGTAACTGTCTGTGAAGACACTGAAAGTTTTATAAATGTTAATGATCATTATTATTAAACATAATTAAAGCAGTCTGAAAGCAGAAGTTTTGCAGAAGAGATTCATGTTTCTGTTGGGAGGAAGAATGTGCTTATGTTCAGTGAAGAAATGGGGCTGGTTGAATTATATAACCTTTGTGGTACCATGGAACCTTAAGTTATAAGGATCTTCAGACTCTGCAGCCTCGAGTTACTTCTCTGAGTTCCTCCTCTGTTCGCTCTTGGGTTTACTCATCTCTAGTCACACTGGTCTCCTAGCTGTGTCTCACACATAGCAGATACACTCTGCTATGTAAGGCTTGAGGCCTTACACTTGCTGCCTCAAGTTTTTTCACCTACATATCTTCATGGCTTTCCCTTATTACCTTCATGTCTTTGTACAAATATCACCTTAATGAGGCCTTTTCTAACTATCCTATTTAAAATGGACACCTCCCCATACACATACAGGTGAACATAAATATTCACTAATCTTTTATGCTCATTTTCCTCCGTAGCACTTACACCATTGGCATACTGTTTATTTATTCAGTTTATTGCTGTTTCCCTCCTATTAGGTAGTTCCTGGTACATAGTAAACCTTGAATGAATGATTTTTTCTACACTATGGCTTATTCCTATTTTTAAAGTCTGAAGACTTTTTAAGTTATCTTGCACTGTTTATGTCGAGCTATTCCACATAGGCTTGATTCATAATTGAGTGGAGATAAACTTAGAAATTAAGAGAGGCTGTGGAGAGTCTGGGTCAGAGATTCCATTCCCAGATTCCAGGCTTATCGATGCTGTGAGCACCAACAGATCTGTTTAGGGCTTTGATTTTTCTTATTGATAAATTGGGGGTTGCTACATGTGTAAAGTGCTTAATAACATCGTGATATGTATGTTACTTGGCATCATGGTGGGCAAGGCTCTTGGATTCTCCATCCAAGGACTCATTAATAATGCAAGGAAAGCTCTCCTGATTTAATGCAGTGGCGCCAACTTTATGGACTGGTTACTGCTGGACTGTCTCCATTCATTCATTCTCAGGCCACTCTAATGCCAAACCCTTAACTTGACTAAAAATCATTCTTCTCCTTAATAGCTTCCCTTTAACTGCCATACTTGGTACTATACCCTGATCTTGGAGATACCCTGATCTGTTTTAGTTGAATTCAGAGAGCTTACTTATTCAGCAGCTGATTCTCTTTGACTCCATAGTACAGCTATCTTTTGTTTTTTGAGGGGGGAGGTGATTAATACTGCAGTTGTGGGGAACAGTGAACAGAATGAACGGTGGCTTAGAAACTTCTGGTTTCTGTCCCCCCAATTACTTTTGTCAATAATTAGCTGTCCTTGGACAAATTACTGAACCATTCTGAGGCTCATTTTCCTCATGTCTAAAACAAGATTAGTTCCTGCCCTTTATGCTTTACAGAGTTACTGTAGAGTGGAAACTGAGATTAAGGAAAAATAGAATGCAGTATGTAAGCAAAAGGCATTCGCATTACTATTCTTGCAGTGACCTCATCACCAGGCCATGAGGATGAGGTGAGGAACAATGGGTCCTGGGAGTCTGGGCTTTGACTTTAGTTATACTTTCTTCCCCAGAAGACTTGCAGACAGAAAGGTGCTCTGCTGCAAGTCTGACAAGCCTCCATTCAGAAGGGACTGGTAGGGTGGCACTTGATTTTCAGCCTTATTTCTATGTAAGTACCTTGACCCAGATGTTAACACGTTTCTCACTTTGTTTAACTTTGATAATGCCTTTGCTCCAACCTGCTGCTTTTATTCTATAGTCTTGGTATTTGCTGTTCCTTTCACCTTCCCATCTCTCTGTTTTTTGGTAGATAGGTGACAGGATTCTTTATCTGAGAAAGAGATTCTGTGATTCTAACTGTGGTTGTAGTAGAAGCCAGTCCAGGTCAATATTGTGTTCCAGGCACAGAAAAGATTGTATTTCCTTCAGTTACCTGTTTCCTGCAAACACTTTAGCTGTGTCAAGAGGAACAGTATTTTTCCCGTTGGTGACTTAGAGGGGTCATCGCTAGTGCAGTGGACTTCATCTGGTGCTTCATCCCTCCCCGCTGAGTCCTCTGCTGCTCCTCGAGGGGGCCTTAGGAGTGCAGTTAGGCTTGGCAGCTGTGGTGGGGTCCTGGGTCAGCAGACGTCACTTTGGCGTGTTGGAAGGGTGACTGCTTAGTGGATGAGGCACCTTTCCCAGCCCATTTTCTAGTGGGTCTGGTTGCAGCCCTGTCACATTGACCCTAGGGAGCCAGATTGTTTGGCTGTTGCACGGAGGATGATGCTCTTTGCCACCAGACACCAGTAACCTTCCTTTGAATTCTTCCAGTTGCATTGAGGCTGATCTAGACTCTCACCAAACTTTCCCTTCTGTGTGGCTTGCTCCTGACTGCCTTTTCAATCTCTTTTAGAGCTCTGAGCTCTTCACCCTGACCTACGGGGCTTTAGTTACCCAGCTCTGCAAGGACTATGAAAATGATGAAGATGTGAATAAACAGCTGGACAAAATGTGAGTGAGCTCCTCTGTGGGAGAGACAGGAATGGGACTCCAGAGCAACCAAATCTACGTGGTCCCCTAGAGCCCAGAACAGGGTCCTCTGTCATAGCCAACACTTTGGGTGCAGTTTCCTCAGCTTATTTATTGGGAGGTTTGGGAATTGTCCTCATTTTCCTTTTACCGCCAACAGCATTGCATTCAGACGTAAGACATTCAGACTCCATAATATAGTTAGCTATCTCATTTCTTTCCCAGGGGCTATAACATTGGAGTCCGACTGATTGAAGATTTCTTGGCACGGTCAAACGTCGGGAGGTGCCATGACTTTCGGGAAACTGCAGATGTCATCGCCAAGGTCATTATCCTGGGCCACCGGGCCATGCTGAAGAATTGTCATTGGAAGACACTGCTTGCCACCCTGTCCCGTAGAGAAGCCCGTAGTATTCCAGAAGAATAGCTGGGCAGCTGCCTGGGCCATAGAAGCCTTCCTGGTGGTTTAAGAATAGTACAGATTATGGAAAAGGGAAGAGTGGTTGGAAGCATCCCTGTGGATTAAAGCCCCACTGGAAGGAGAGGGGTGTGGAGTTGTGCACAGTTGCTTTTCCTTCTTTGCCCTGAATATGTGAAGCTTCAGTGTCTTGCAGAGGCCCCAGTTTTTTTCCAGAGCCATTTAAGTCCCCTTGCCGGTCCCATCACATCACCTTCCCTGGTGCACAGCCCCTCCTGCGTGTCCCATAGTGCCATTGTGTGTCTCCTGACAGGTGGCATTCAAGATGTACTTGGGCATCACTCCAAGCATCACCAATTGGAGCCCAGCTGGTGACGAATTCTCCCTCATTTTGGAAAATAATCCCTTGGTGGACTTCGTGGAACTTCCTGATAACCACTCATCCCTTATTTATTCCAATCTCTTGTGTGGGGTGTTGCGAGGAGCCTTGGAGATGGTGAGTGCACCTCTTTACCTTCTGAGACACCTGAAAGGTAGTAGGGTCTTAATAAATGTTTAAATGAATGAACGAGAGTGAAAAGAGGGTTTAGAACTCACCCGGTACTTTGCTGCTGGAGATGATGATGCTGCCAAGCATAGGATCCAAGTTGGAGTTCTCTACGTGGCGTTGATCCTCATTGCTTAGGCTGGAAGGTGGTGCTGTCAGCCCCCAAAGCCCAGGAGCATCTGTTCCCAGATTGGCTTATCTGGTGACAGTTTAATTTGCGAGTGTTCTTTGCTAAGTCTCTCCTGTTGGGTCGGGGCCACTGTCTTTTGCACAGGAACTAGCAACCTTGTCCTTGTGAAAACCATCCCCCTTGTTTAGGCTGCTCTAGGTGAGGCAGTTATAGCTGCATCCCCAGTGATTTCACAGAGGCTGTGGCTAGGCAGGTGCCCCTTCATTTTCACACTGTCCCCCAGGTCCAGATGGCTGTGGAAGCCAAATTTGTCCAGGACACTCTGAAAGGAGATGGTGTGACAGAAATCCGGATGAGGTTCATCAGGCGGATTGAGGACAACCTCCCAGCTGGAGAGGAATGACCACCCCCAGGACTTCAGGGTAGCCAGCAGGAGCACTTGTTGGAATCAGAAAGCCTCAGTGCTCCTTCTGCCTTCGAGAATTCAGTGACTCTTTAACGGATGTTATATATTCTTCTAACCTTGTTTCCATTCTCTCCGTGTTAATAAAGAGCAGACTGTGATATAGTCCATTTACCTACAAGTGTGCGCATTCAGGAGGGAAATTCTCTGCTCCCTTTCTCTTCAAAGGGGCTGGATGTAGTCATCCTTGGTTGGACTAGAGGAGCTCAAACCATTTTACATTCCTGTTTGAATTTTCCAAAGCAGAACCCACTCTGACCCCATTAAGAGGCAAACCTCACACACCTATACCTGGGTCTTCAGAAAGTCATTGGTGAGTGACTGTAGGGAGTCCAGGACTCCCTGGACAGGGAGGAGAAGATGGGAGGGGCGGGTCGGATTTGCTGGCTGGAGTGCGATCCACTCTAGTGCTTGCCAGGAAAGGGGAGCGTCACGCCAGAAACACTGACTTCTGGAAAACCACCCAGGTCTCTCATTCCTCCCTGCTGTTTGGAGGCGACATCTCCTCTGTTTACAGAGGGTCCATCTCTTTTTCTTACAAATTCTTCAATAAAGACACATTCTTGAGTGAAATCCCAATCATGTCCTGTTGTCTTTCTGCTCGGCCCTGGGAATTTTGTTACAATGGGGTGTAGAGACCTGCTGAGTCCTGTGCCCTGCCTTGGTTTTATCTAATCCAGAAATACTTCTCCCCATGGACCAGAGAGTCTGGGAAGCCTGGGAGCCAATGAGGCTCCTTCAGGTCATTTTTGAGTCCACTGTCTATAGCTAAATCTAGAAGCAGACCAGTATCCCAGATGTTCCTAAAATGGACTATCCTGGGCTCTTGGCCACCATGTTGAGAGGATTTGGCTAGAAAGACCATGTAAACCTTGTTAGGTTGCCATTTAGTGAGTGCTTACCAGGTGTCATCTCTGCACTGAACACTTTGTATGCATTGTCTAATTCACAGTAACACCATTTTTAGGAGGAGGCCACAAGTTGCCCAAGGTCATATGGCTAGTAAGTGGAGAAGCTAGGGTTCAAAGCCCCAGCCAGACTCCATAAGCCCATGTCTTTTTTTCTGCGCTGGGTCTTAGTTGTGGTACATGGAATCTAGTTCCCCGACCAGGGATAGAACCTGCGCTCCCTGCAGTGGAAGGCAGATCCTCAACCACTGGACCACCAGGGAAGTCCCCACAACCCACATTCTTAACCATGGTGCCTGGTTCACACTGGAATGGTGGGGGAGCAGGCCTGCGGATCCCTCTCAGTCTCACAGAGCTTAGGGTAGCTTTTAAACAGAGGGGTCAGAGGTCATCAGGCCATATTTGGCAGCACTCTTCTTGGGGACAGCCTCGGGCCTTGAGGTCCAGATACTCAGGTTGTTGGGGTGAAACAGAGCCCCAGACCTTCCCCAAGGTTAGTGGACAAGTCTGAGATGAGGGGAGCATTGTGCTTAAAGTGTGTCTAGTCATAAAGTTTTGGGGCACTAGAACACCCAACCTGCCTCCTCCAGCTGGGTTAAGCTGCTGATGAGGAGAAGGATCACTTCTGGCACCCATAAAGAAGGCTGAGTGCCCAAGAATTGATGCTTTTGAACTGTGGTGCTGGAGAAAACCCTTGAGAGTCCCGTGGCCTGCAAGGAGATCAATCAATCCTAAAGGAAATCAGTCCTGAATATTCACTGGAAGGACTGATGCTAAAGCTGAAGCTCCAATACTTTGGCCACCTCATGTGAAGAACTGACACATTAGAAAAGACCCTGATGCTGCAAAAGATTGAAGATGGGAGGAGAAGGGGATGACAGAGGATGAGATCACTGACTCATGAACATGAGTTTCAGCAAGCTCCAGGAGTTGGTGATGGACAGGGAGGCCTGGTGTGCTGTAGTCCATGGGGTTGCAAAGAGTTGGACACGACTGAGCGACTGAACTGAACTGATGCTTCCTCTAGGATCCCCTTCTCCAAGCCTCTTTACCTCCCCCTCCAGAGACATAACAGTTTGGGGCCCCAGTGCAAATGGGGCCCCATTTTGGTCAACTGCATCCTCAGCACCCAGCATGGGGTTGGGTGCAGTCACACCAGAGTGTGAGTGAATGAGCGCGCGACTGATGGAGTGAATGCTGGGGCCCAGATGTGGGAAGCGTGTGGTGTCTGGACCTGCCAAGAAAAGTGTGATGCACCACCCTTTCCTTCTCCAGGGGGGCCCTCGCCCTTCCTCTCGTCCCCGTACCACAGCCTACTTTCCAGCAGCTGTTTGTATGGCGTGAGGTTTTGGATATTTCCTTTCCCAGAATTTAACTTGGGCAGCATTACAGTGTCGGCAAGCTGCGGAAACAAAGTCCCCTTAGTAAGTTCTCCCAATCACAAGTCCACAGTGTGTGTGCACGCACTCAGGGGCTGAGGACCATGAGCTGTTCAGAACATCACCTCATTCTCTCCCCAGATGAGCCAACCATACAAGGCCCAGCTACCCAACAGCTGCTCCCCCCACCCCTGAAATTACTTAGCTGTAGATTACATACCCCTTTCCTTTACTGTGGCTGGGGGTGGGCCACCCCCCACCCCACAACCCCCAGGCTAGGCCATTCCCCATTCATGACGTACTGGCACACCCTCCTGGTGAGAAGGGGCAGGGTTGCCTGGCTATATGGGAATGGCTGACTAACCAGGTGGGGTTCCCACAGAGCCTGGGTGGCTGGAGGAGGCCATGCTGGTGGCTTTGGGGCTTGGTGCTGGCTGCGCAGAGCACTAAGGAAAGGCCTTGTCTGCAACCTTTGGCCACCAGGGGTCAGCAGATCACCACTGTAACATTCCAGAGAGTACCCATGAGATCCTTGGTTTTCAGAATTTGCCAGAAGATGCACCTGATGGAGCAAATCTCAGAAGCTGGTCAGAGCCTGAAGGTGCCACCTTTCTTTAGTCACAACCATTTGAAAACAGAGCTTCCATGGCTGCCCAGGGCGTTGGAGAAAGCACATTGGCAAAGAAGTCTCTGGCTCCCATTCACACCTCATACTCTCATAGTCCTGAGTTTGAGGCGTCCAACCTCTTGAGTTGGACGCGCCAGCTCTGAGCCCTTGTCTAACCAACCCCCTCACTTCCTGAGTGGAGACCAGAGCACTAGCCCTCTTCCCCTGATGTAAGAGGGTCCTGTCCCTGCCCCAGCCCCCAACCAGTGACGTTTCCAGATTCAGGGTACCCCTTTCTCTGGCAGATTGGCTGCCCCTACATTTGTCCTGGGCATGCAGGTCTGAGAAGGAGGTGGCCACAGAAGCCCAGGAGCAGAAATTGCATTAAGTAAAATTAAAGCAGCCTCCTAACAAGCAGTTCATTGTGGCTGCTAGGGGGTGGTGGTGCAGGAAAGGCATCCTCCGTTCTCCGGGAGCTTAAGTGCTACCATGTGCTGTTCCCTGGAAGCCAGAGGGCCGGTGGGAGGGAGGGGAGGGTGGCAGCAGGCGAGGCGCCTCGCTTTTACCAACCCCCAGCCTTTGATGTAGGGCCAGGTCTGACCCCAGGATGGCCGCTGGCCACTGCCAGGGGAGCTGTGGGATGCAACGCATTCCTGGGGGCAATTTGCGCTTCTGGCAGAAGGAGAGGAAAGTTTCTACTGTGGGGAAGGGGGTGGAGAGAGGGCGCTGCAGCAGAGTTGAGGGGGTGGGTGCTGTAAGGAATAAGGGAGGGAGTCAAGGCGCAGGGTAGCCCCCCTGACTCAACCTGGCTCACTTAGCCTGTGAGATCGAGGCCTCTTCTAGGAAGCCTTCTCTGATGGACCCAAAACAGGTGAGGAGCAGTACTGTCACCCCCCACCACACAGGAATAGTCCTGGGAGATGCTGAGAGAAACAGCTGCTTGTCCCTCCTGGCTCTGGAGGCCTGGGCCATCAGTCATGGGGGCATCTAGGACCGAGCCAGGCTGGAGGAGGGCTGGGAAGATGGCGCGATGAGCATGACAGCGCGTGAGTAAGTGCAGACCAATGTTATTCATAGCAACAGCTAATATTTATCGCAGAGTGACTCTGCCAGTGCTGGTCTAAGCACTTCACATGCATCTCTCCTTGAGCACTCACAATGCTCCTATCACTATTCCCATTTTGCAGATAAGAAAACCGAGATACACAGCTAATACATAGTAGATTTAGGACTTGAACCAAAACAGCCCAGTATTGGACACCAAGCTCTTCTCCAGTATATTCTGGGTTGCATATGTGTGTTTTTGTATTTCACTGGGTGACTGTTTGCCTATGTTCCTTGAAGAGTGTGTTATGTGAATTCTTTCATTTAATGAAAATGTAGCCCCAAGTTAAGGGCTGGAGACATGATGCTGGGAGCTTTTATCCATGGGGAAGCAGCTGAAGGCATGTACAGCGATGGGGAGGACAGGTTGAAAACGTAGAGCCTAAAGTGAGCCCCAGCTCTGCAACTTATTGGTTATGTGACTCTGGACAAAGAATTGGAATTCTGAGCCTCAGTTTTTTCATGTGGAAAATGGGAATAATAATGCCTCCCTTGCTGACTGTTTTGAGGATAAAACAAAATGAAGTATGTGTGTTTCCTGGCCTAGGCTGAGTGTTCCCTAATTGGCAGTTATGATGAACATGATATTTGGGGGAATTATCTTACAGAATTGCTGTGTGTGGATTCATGAGTGTCTGCAGATGGTAATTTTGCAAAATCAGGGCCATGCCTCTATTGTTCATGGCTGTATCCCCAAGTGTCTAGAATTATTTTCAGCACAAAGCAGGTACTCAATAAATTTTTATTCACTGTTGACTAGGTTTAAGAATGGAGTAAGGAGGGCCCATAGAGAGAGGGTGGGTGGGCAGTGTGAGCTCAGCGCAAAACGAAAATGCAGAGCCCCTGGTTCAGAAAAGATGACCCAAAAGAGCCTTAAACTAAGCCCTTCTGAGCTGCAGGCCCATGAGGCCAGCCCCGGCCTCCCCTTGCCTTTGAGCATCC